GGTGCCAAATCCCAGAAGACTGCTTTCTTCATAGTCACTGCCGTGAAAGCCTCAAATCTTAAAAAATGTTGATATTCTCTCTAATAGTTTCCCTAGCTCTATTAATATCCACAGCATTGTCTAAGTTTTCCAAAGCCACAAACTTGTTTGATATTTCAATATGATACTGCTCTTTACCCTCTACCTTATTTAATTTCTTGAGACTGAACCTCTCCATATGAACTCTGTGCATTGTTTGTTTACTCACTGCCAGTTGCCCCTCCCTCATTTCTGCCACCACCAGACAGTGGTCAGTATCACAATCCACTCCCTGAGGATCAGATATCAAGTACACTTCAATGTCATCTCCTATGTACCAAAATGTTGTCAATCTGACATGTGTCTTTCCATCCAGAGATGCTGAAGTAAAATGATGTATGTTATGACGTGGGAATGGGAATGTTGTACTTTTGACAGTCAGATTTCTGAATCTTGCAAAGTTTACTATATTATCTCGATTATCATACTAATTTCGTGTAAAATATCATTCCCAACTACTGGTTTGGAAATGTCTTCCTACCTACTTTGGCACTGAAATCTCCTAATACAATTTTTGTGTGGCATTAAGAAATTTATCAAATATATGTTGTAGTTCCTCACAGAAGCAATTTTTCACTTCATCAATTTTATCCTCTGCTGGGGTAAGAATGATGATATCACACCAGCAAGCTCTTAGTATTACGTGTGGCATCCTATCACTAACAAACTCTACCCTCTTAACTGCTGATATGATTTTCTTATGTACAAAAACAATCTGTAAGTAATTCATGATTCTCATTCGCTTTTCCACAAAAATATATATTCACCTGCTGGTTCAACTGTTGCATTTCGGCTGCACCCAATATCTCTTCTTGACCATCGGTCCTTTATGGGATCCTCTTGCAATGCTGTCCCTGCCTGGTCCCTGATGACAGTGTCCCTCATGCAGTGCAGGAATGGTATGGCAGGTCAGGTGTCTCAGGATGGCAGCTAACTTCTTCTGGGCCCCTCCATCACCTTTGGCCAATTTATTCAGACGTTGGCAGTGCCCTATGGCTAGATGCCAGTCCCCATATCAGTTCTCCAGTGCTCCGATAGCTTCCACTGTGGCCTCTGCTTTAGGAACTTCCTAATGCTCCGATTTCAAAAGCTGCTTCTTCCAGATTTGCCTCCAAATTCTCGGTTTCTGTATTTTTCAAACAGGCCTCCATCATCATGGCCTCTCAGCAGACCTTCACTTCTTTTTGCCACGCCCTCATTTCTTCTTTCATCTCTTCTTTGCTGCTTTTAATTTCTTCTTTTTTTTGTTGTGTGGCCTGTCATGGCTTTGTGGATATCCATCCACGAGAGACAAGAGCACTTTCAAGGACCTCAAACTTCTCACTGTGGGCTTTTATTTCAGCTTTAATTTCCCTTAGATTGACATTTGTTCTTTCTTGCGTAGCCTTCAATTCCTTTTGTCATGCCTTAATTTCTTCCATGAAAGCATCGGTCTTGACTCAGTCTGATTGAATCAGTCCTATCCAATCCAATTAATCTGGTTAATTCAACCCCTGTTCTGACACCAGTTGTCAAGTGACAGGGTGAGTACAGATGGGGTTGGGACTGGTAGTTAGATTGATTGGACCCTTACAGATCGGTGACTGTAAGTAATTATAACCATTTCACTAAGTTACACATTTTAAAATTAATTAGAGCACACATTTAAGTCTTCTCAGCCTGCTCTGTCTTCACCAGTCTTCTGGTAATGGCTTCCAATGGTGCACATTTCCCTTTCCAAACGGTCCTCAGTCTCAGCTAGAGCAACTCTTGACTAACTAACCCACTAACCGAGTAACTACCTAGCTAGCTAACTGTCTCTAGACTTGTCCTGATTCACAGAATGGGGAAACACAACAGATCAAAGATGGTCCAGTGCAAGGGATGTCTGGCATACACTCCCTCAATGTACTGTATTCTAACATTATTCACAGAACATACAGTGCTGTAGTACTTTTTCATTGCATTGGTCATCAAGAAGCACTATGTAGGGTTTGAGGTTCTCACAGCTGTGGTCTTGAAGAGTTCCAACTTCTGGGTTATAATGCTGTGTAGTCCACTGAAAGACAATCAATGTTTCAGAGGAACACATCACTTCCATCTTCAGGGTCAAGAAACCAAGCAACAAACCTACATGAAGCAGGTAGCAAGCAGTGCCCTATTCTGCAAGCAAGGAAGCTTGCTTGCTACCTGCTTCGTACTGGTTTCTTGCTTGGCTTATTCTTTGATCCTGAAGATGGAGGCAACATGTTCATCGAAATTAATGGCTGATTTTCAGTGGACTACACAGAAGACAGAACTTTTATAAAAATATTATGTGATAAATATGGTCTGACTCACATGGGAAATAGAATGAAAAATTTCACTACAGTGGTTAACTTCATTGGCTCATGTGCCTTAAATAAAAGACAGTTTAAATTGGTTTTAAAAGAGGCAGATTCACTGTATGGCAGTTTTTTCATGTACAACCATGTTCCTTGGTTTAGATGCAGGTAAGTGTCTGACAGATTTGTCAAGTGTCTGAATAAAGTGAAACTGTTTTTGGAGGAAGAATAGCAACACCATCTATTGTTAGATGATACAACTTTCCAGTCTATGCTTCCTGCTGACTTGTGCACTTATCTGAATGAGTTAAATGTGAATCTATGAGGTCTAAAGATGTCACATTCAGTATTATTACAACATCTGAAAAGAAGTTTGAAGTATATCAGTGCGATCTGATCAAATGTATATCAAAGAGAGCTGTAAGATTTTAAAGATGTTTATGCGACTTTGAAGAACATCAATGATGAACCAGATACAACAGTGTTATAAGCTTAGAATCAACAGCAAGCTCTTTACTAACCTGGTAAATAATAATTTCATTTAAATACATTACAACATCAAAGAAAACTGTTTCAAAGATGCAGGCAAGGAAAACTAAAGCTGAAATCTCTTTAGTTGATCACAGCAAAGATACGGTTCTTATTAAATCATATGTTTTAATATATGCAAAATACTGTTCACAAAACTTCTGAGAAATGGCACAGTTGTCAGATGTCTATTCTCCCCAGAAATCACTGAATCATATTTCCATAAGTACATATTTTCTTCATTTGACACAATGATTTTTAATAAAATTAAAATATAAACTCATATTATAATTGTATAAATAGGATATATATATATATATATGAAACAAGCACTACTTACTCAGGAAAATGCTCAATTAGAGATTGTAACAAATAGAAACCTTCATGGTCATTAACTTTTGAAGCTATTAGCTTCTGAAACACACCAAGCAATCCACTCTGGAAAAAAGGACGAAAAATGAATATGAGAAAATAATGTTTAACTTTGTAATAAAAATCACAAGAAATTTTGATGTACAAATAATCCTGCTTTATCTTCAATGACAATGTGAATAGTTTGGTTTTTGTTTAACAGTTATTTCACCTCTATAATTAAAGAAAGTTCATAATCTCGTGATTTTATAATAATTCTGTTGCATGCCTGCATTATGTTCATTTCAACTATAAAAAGTGCATTTTTTTACATCTGTAGCATATGGTAATATGCAATCAGTCCAACTTCATCTCCAAAGTTTCAAATATAAATGGGCAGGAATAAATTTCAAAAAACAAATAATTTTGACAACAACAAATGGAATGAATGCTCTATTAATGAGGCCTAAACTGAAATTATTGTTGACATGCCCACTTGCCTGCCTATATACGAGTGTGGTCTGATGTTAAGGGTAAAAGTGTTTGTTATATATGGCCTGCGCATACATCTCAATGTCACTTGCACATATGGTACGTTGGGTAACTGCACGAGTGTCGTTATTCTCCATCCACGTATCTAAGCTTTACAAGTGAACAAAATGACCAGTGTGACTTATAATTATTCCAAGTTCGAGGTCCGCATGGTCAGATTCTTGCAAGCAGAAGGAGTGAGTACGAGTGACACTCATCACAGGTTAGTGAGTGTTCACAGCTAGAACATTTTCAGCTGAAAGGAAGTATCTATGTAGTGGCAAACTTAAAGATGGCCAAACGGCACTGAATGATAATCCACAGAAGCATGGAGGCAAAACAAGGGCCTCGCACACAGAAGAAAACTGTGTCACTGTGGAAGGTTTGATAAGGGAAGATCAAAGGATCAAAGTTTGTGAAATTGTTGAAGTGACAGGTACTGCAAAGAGCACTGTTCATGAAATCTCAGATTTAAACTTCCATAAAGAGTGTGCTCGCTGGGTTCCAAAAATGCTCACCGATGAGCACAAAAGGAAAAGAATGGCTGCTTCACTTAAAAATCTTTGCCATCACCAAGATGAAGCAGAATCGCTCATAGAAAGCATTGTTAGTCATTTACTATTACCTGTGGCAGATCTTAAAACCCAGTGGAAAAAGAAAGCTACTTTGAAAGGTACTACAGATATGGCTCGTCTCCATTGTTCAAGATAAAAGTGAACCATTGTGACTTTGTGTCAACAAACCATATGAGAGCAGGCCACACCAGTCTTAAAGCAAGCCTAAACAGATTTAACATTGTGTCCACAGCTGAATGTGAATGTGGTCATGGGCTGCAAACCAAGGAACATATCTTCTGGGATTGTAAATGGTATGAGGACCAAAGGGCAACAATGATGGACATTGTCTTAGAACAGCAAAAAAGAATACCCAAAGTCAGTTACAGAGCTCTTAAAGCTAGAAGAAAAAAGATTTCTGCAAGGCGTCTGTTACTTCATAAACAGAATTCCTAAATTTATATAAAATACATATGTAAGAAAAGTCAATGAAGTAATTGTACTGATTATCAGTATACTCTGAGATTTAAGTTAAGATCTATATTAAGAATCGCAGGGTGACTGCTAGGATAGAATAAGATGTTTATAAGAATGTGCTACAGAAGGCTGGATGGGCATTGCTTAGGCCTGTTTTGTATTTACAATAATTTTTCCCCCAGAATAAAAAACAGAAAGCAGATGATAAAAATTATTTAAATACAGATACTTCAAGATTTAGAAGCCTTTACATCCAAGGAATACTATGTACAAACGCAAGACGACAACCTGCTGGATCTACAGGAACATCACATGTAATGAAGAAGAAAACGAGTGAAATGTTCACAATTAGTTATTGAGACTGAGACTTAAACACAGAAAATGATAACACTTATATAATGGATGACAGAGCCTCCTTCTTCAGGAAAAACATGGCTAGTGCAGAGGTAGTCTGATGAATATCCAGCTTGGTCTGAATGGTTGAACCCGTAGAACTTAATGTGGAGTGGCAAAGTGCTGCAATACACAACATTACAGCAGGCTGATCTTCTGTGTCAAATTTAATGATGATGTAGTTACGAATATCTTGCACAAATGGCAGAATCTGCGTGCGTTTAGAAATATTGAAAAAATATATGTTTACAGAAAAATAATAAGAATACTAATACACCTGCACTAGCTGTTTACAAGGTATGAGGCTTTTGGAATCCATCTTAAAAGTATTCTTAGTCCAATACTGTGCTTTAAAATGAAGGCTTTAAGGAGTTAATGCATGTAAACTAAGCTTAGACCAATACTGTGGCTTATAGAAAAAAAAAAACAAAATATTTCATTTTCTTTAGCAAATGAATGAATTCTTGGAGCGCTACCTGGCTGCAAGGGTCATTGTGCAACTATAATTAACTTACCACTTTTTGTGATGCAGATATCTGAGCAGCTCCGGTCTGAACAAATGTTTGCAATAGCTGTACCAAAGGATGAATGTTACCAGGGCGCTCCCAGAGTACAGGAGCAAGCAAGCAGGGAAACAGAACCATGTATGGTTCTGGTATTGCACCACTCTTATGCTGTCCCAGAAGGAGTGACAAGATTTGGAACACATATGGTACAAATTCTGAGAAAACAGTAAAAATAGACATTATTATAAATACGTGCATATATAAAGAGATTCATGTAATGGAAAATGTAAAATGTCACTCTTAAGAATGTTACAAATTAAATGTAATATATTGCAATTCATCTGCTCCTCCTCCTCCCCCCTTGCCATCATCAACCACTGATGTTTTGACCAAGACACGTCATCCTAATTAGAATTACTATTAAAATTTCAATTCTACTACTATCACTTAGCACGACATTAATTTTGCTTATACTTACTCATAGGTAGGCATGGTTTCAGTTTAAACGGTCACTTCTGCAGCAGGTCACAATGTAAGTTGTTAAGTATGTAATATACAGGGTGTCTACAAAAGGTCTGACACATTTTGATCTTTAATAATTCAGGAAATAACGAAAATAGAAATAAACCTTTAGCAATGATGGAAAGATCAACTCAAAAAGTTTATTATCATCTTTACAGGTCATGAACGTGTTCACAGCTGTCAATGCAGTGTTCATTGTTGAGAAAATGGCAACTCCACAAGAGAGAGCGCAAACAGTGGTGTGGTTTTGTGAAACAAAATCGGTGACACAAATGCAGAGGAACTTCAGAACACATTATCAGAAAGATCCTCCTTCTAGAAACAGTATCATAGACTGGAAAAAGATATTTTTACGTAGAAACAGGAAGTGTCCTCAGTAAGAAGAGTTCCGGACGTCCCAGCACAAGCAATGATGATGCTGAGCGTGTCCGAGAAGCATTTGCACGCAGTCCCAGGACTGCCATATTATCTTCAAACGGAAATTAGATTTACAATATCTTTCTAAACAACTATGTTTATATAGGCCGTTTCATGTTCCTGTGAAATTACTTAAACTATTTTCACATGTGCTGTTTTTAGGGAAACGTGCCAGAATCTTTACAACAGAGCTTTACATGATAAGAGGATATTAATGCATTATGGCAGTCACTTGTTACGTTCAAAGATGGTTGTGGGTTGTTGGGAATGAATTGGTCTACCAGCAGTCACATTTTACTGCATAAACATTCATTCAGAGATTCAAGTTGAACACACAGCAGTGTGCATGGGGAGACAATAACACATACCAAGTCTCTCTACAGAACAGAGAGTGAGACATAAGGACGGTTTGGAAGAGGAGAAAACACTAATTCTGACAGTTATCTGAAAATGAATATATGGTAACAAATCTCCTTATCCAATTGACAGACACTGACAGTGAGGAGGAGGCATTATACTGACAGACTTCAAACAATGGACTGACTGTACTTGAACTCAACTCGGCCTTCTGCATCTGTAATACACAGGTTTACACAGAGTGTCCCTGAGGGATGAGACCCTATGCCACTGACAGGTTTCATGCTTTTTCCTTGTCACTGTGCAACTGCTGAGGAAGAGACTTACAGATTACAGATATTACCACCATTATTTGGACATACTTGATTAATGATAAATCTCTCTATATGACGTATCTATACAAGAAGTGTACTTGTTTTTATCTATCATTTTGCAATTGGAGGACAATCAGTGGAAGATACTAAAAATGTATTGGTTGACACTACAGCAGATTTTGCTGCCTTTCATGGAAAAATAATGACACAAGACAGATTTTTTTTTTCATATAACAAGATTTCCACATTTCAGTAGCAACAAAAATGAACCTGGCAACTGAAACTGGAATATGAAAACCATACTTGATATGCTCACTGATGTGTATGCTAAATGTTACAGTTGAACTGAACATTAGCATTTGATGAAATCACCATACTTGTCAAGGGTAGAACTGTCTTCAAACAGACTATACCAAAAGAAATATTCAACAATTTCAATAGGTTGAAGAACTACTTCTCTCAGTTACTGAACATACATTGGGTCAGTGATGTTAGGCAGATAGAAATACACACAGCTGAGCCATTAGTATCTTTTGAGATTGAAACTGCTACTGAAAAGTTTAAAAGATATATATCACCAGGTAGTGATCAAATTCCGTTAGAACTGATTCATGCAGGAGGTGCAACATTACAGTCTGAGATCCGTAAACTCATCAATTCTATTTGAAATAAGGAAGAACTGCCTGATCGGTGGAAGGAGTATATTATTGTATCAATTCACAAGAAGGGCAACAAGACTGACTGTATTAATTATCATGGGATATCAATGCTATAATCTTCATACAAAATTTTATCCAATATTCTTCACTCAGGGTTAAGCCCATACATAGATGAAATTACTGAGGATCATCAGTGTGAGTTTCAACATAACAGATCAACTACTGATCAGGTTTTTTGTGTTCGTCAAATACTGGGGGAAATAAAAATCGGTGTACAATGAGACAGTACATCAGCTGTTCGTAGACTTCAAGAAAGCCTATGATTCAGTTAGGAGGTAAGTATTGTACAACATTCTCACAGAGTTTGGGGTACCCATGGAACTAGCTAGGCTGATTTAAATGTGTTCAAACAAAACACACAGTAAAGTCTGTATAGGTAAACATTTGTCTGGTAATTCTCCTGTCCAGAATGGTCTAAAACAAGGAGGTGCTTTATGGCCACTGCTTTTCAACTTTGCTTTAGAATATGCCATTAAGAAGATTCAGAAAAACCAGGTGGGACTGAAATTAAATGGAACACATCAGCTGCTGGTCTATGCTTACATGTGAATCTACTGGTGGCAGCAGGGGTGGGGGTGGTGGTGGAGGAGAAGAAAAAACAAGGAAAAATCCAGCAAGCTTCCATGCCTGTTATTCAGAGCCCCAAGCAATAAGTTCAGTAATGCAACTTGCTCAAGTTGTCATGGCCAACTGTGGAATGAATTCATCATACAGAAGGGCCACTGTTCAAGATCTATGATAACTGTGTGTAGTCCTGCAGGCAGTTTCTTTAAGTTGCATCATTAAAAGTAAAAATTAAAAGTAAAGGTATCTCTGTAACAGGGCGTGAAGGCCCATAGGGTTGTGAGATGTTGAGGTTCCCTCATTTTGTAGACAATCGGCTCATAGACGGCAGCAAGGTTGTCAGCCTTACACACCAGCTGCACTTTACCCCCAAGAATATTCCTGGTATTTAATTCTGTTAGAGGCTGAGTCGACCCAGGGCCATAGTGCGGCTGGAAGGATTAGGTCAATTGAAAAAAAATCCAATTACCTCATAGGGACTTGAACCTGTGGGCTTGTAGCATAGTGCCTCAACCAACTAAGCTATGGTGTGCCCCCTGAAGTTACAGCATAGTGCCAGATATTGCCAATAACTTGTTTGTGAGTGATGATGCTCGCATTCATGATAACATATGCGAATAAGCAAAACTTCCATTATAAGGCAACTCAAAATCCTTACAAACTCCATGAGTGACCACTTTATTCTTCAAAGATTATTTGGTGTACTGTGTTGTCACTGAGGACTGTGTTTTCCTGTTGATCTGCAACAAAGCAATACACAGAGCCCACAAACTGACAGAAGAGTCCCTGTTATTAGAACCAGAAACCTAGCATACTCTTTGTAACGGAACAAACAGCACCTAAGGGTGAAACAGTAATTCATGCTTGAATACTGTGTAATTATTTGTAAATATGATGATTCAGTGTCAAATACCTTCAATTATTAACCCATATCCAATGTCTATCCACTACCACATGACAACCGCTATTATACTCAACAGATGACAATCCATTAGTATTTAGTTTTATTTCATTTCTAGATAGGTATAAAGATAGGCTTCTGTGTATATAAAGTATGCATGCATCATTTTTGTAGTTTTAATTGCAATAGGCTGTACATAGCATATGGGAGTGTGCATGCATGGAACAATAACACATCAGAAACTCATGTTCACTAGCAAAAGTTGCCAGGATATCACCATTTCTGTGAATAAGTGATTTTAACCTGGAAGACATACAGCAGTCATATACAATACTTTTGAAATCTTATACATATTTAGAAAGCGTAACCAAAGCATTGTAACAAGTGTACAACATATATAAACAGACAATGGCTTGATAGAAGTGAAATGTGTCTGCAGTATAATATATTACAAATTGTGAAGGAAATTTATATTTGTTTTAAAATATTAAAAATATGATAATCAGTTATACACGATAAATTCGAGACAGTGGAACTCTATATCATTAAAAATTTGGAAGGATTATATATCCTTAACTAACTAACTAACTAACTAACTATATGGAGCTGAGCTCTTCTTAAGAAGCTGCCAGTTGACAGCTACTCAATAATTTCCAAACAGTTTATGAAACATGAAAGTTCTTTACTATGTTCACAAGAGCCCTCCACTGGTTCATATCCCTAGCCACTTCAATCTAATTCATACCACAGCATCCTAGTTCCATCTAGATCCAATTTAATATTATCCTCCCACCTATGTCCAGGTCTTCATAGTGGTTTCTTTCCTTTTGTCTTTCCCACCAAAATCCTATATGTATTGTGACATGTCAAACCCTTGTTGGGCAACAGTATTAATCTCCTCCCCCATTTGTGCTACCCGCCCTGCTCCTCTCATCCTCCTTGAATTCTCATTCTAATTACACTTGGAGAAGCGTACAAGTTATGAAGCTCCTCATTGTGTAGTTTTCTCCAACCTCCCATAGCTTCATCTCTCTTTGGTCCAAATATTCTCCTCAGCATTGTTCTCAAACACCCTCAGTCTGTGTTCCTCCCTTAATGTCAGAGACCAAGTTTCACGCTCATATAGAGCCACAGGCAAAATTATAGTTTTGTATATATTCTAACATTTGTTTTAGACAGAAGACGAGAAGCCAAAAGCTTCTGGACTGAATAGTAGCAAGCATTACCCAAATTCAATCTCCTCTCAGTTCCCTCATGAATCAAATTTTGATTTGTTACTGTAGTTCAAAAATATTTGAACTGTGCCACATTTTCAAAGGATCCATTAGCTATATTTTAGTTTCCTTTGCGTTTACTTCTACACCAACCTCATTACCAGCATCACTTAAAGTTTCTGTGTTCTTTTATTGTATCTATGTTATCACCCACCCAGTAGATTCACATATCAGCATAAACCAGCAGCTGATGCATCCTATTTAATTTCAACTCACATGGTTTTCCTGAATCTTCCTAGTGGCATATTCTAAAGGAAGAAATAGATCATTGTTACTAAATTATTAATTTATAATGATTTCTACTTACCTCGCTATAAAGAATTAAACATTTGGCAGAAGTAGGCTTAATATTTTTCTACAGAACTTCCTGTTCTTTCTATTAGAGTTTGTACTACTTTATAAGAAGTTGGCAACTTTATATGTTTGGATCTGCACTGTGTACCTTGCTTATGTGTACTTTGTTTGTATTGTTCCCTTTATGTTGTAGTCTTTCCTTGTCTGTATCAGTGTAAGATCTACTGCCACAGGGTGAATACCCAATTGCAGTAAAATAATGATAATGACAATAATAATGATAATAATGATGATAACAACAACAACAACAACAACAACAATAATAATAATAATAAGAATAATAATAAAAGAATGGTTTCACATACCTTGAATATCTTGCTGAAGAATTTCCTGAAATATTGGGAATAAAACTTCTTCAAATGAAGTCACTGCATTTGAATCAGCAACACAAACAATTCTGAAATGAAGAAATAATACAAATAGTTCAATCTTGATACATCTTCTGGACTCCAAAATACAAAGAAATTGAAATTCTCAGACACAGGACTACATAATATTGTCATGTGTTGGTGTTCAGACACAGGGTTTGGACTGATACCTGGATTTATTTAATGCCTATAACTTGTAACTACAAATAACTGTAACGATCACTGATTTTCACAATCTAAATCACTAAAATTACAGTGCACATAAAGTCTTTTATCTGTTCACTAGCCATTGTCAGGTAGTGGCTGCTAACAGAGCAACTAAAGATTGCTAAATGGCAACTCCCATCTCGAACTCACAACTGTCAACTCGCTTGTCCAGCTGGTCCTCATTATATAACCTTGGCACAGACCACACAGAAAACACCCCATCCTTCATTACTGCATCAGTATCTGTTGTAATGGAAACATGCTTGCCACGCCTGTCATGTTACACTGCTCTCTCCTTAAAGCTGCTTGTCCTGAGTAGCCTAAATGTGTATTGCTGTTTCTTCTCCTTTGAGGCAATATGCCTGTGATATTTGCGATCATCTCATGAGTGACACTTCCACATCATGCTGGCCAATTCTCCTGCTTCCAGTCTTGATGGTGTACAGTCATCATTCCTCATGGGTGGGATTTTACACTGTTCCCTCCTTAAGGATGGTCATCTTGAGTGTCACAGTCCTCTTGTGGGAGCACCTCCCTCAATGTGATTCTGTGACTAGCAGTCTCCAGTCATTGTTACAAACATCTCCCTCGAGGGTTGGACCAGTGTTCTCATTTCAGCTTCATGGGTGGCCTTGGAACCCACCCCTGCAAGGTTATCCACCACCACAACCACCACCACCACCACCAGTGGTCCTTCCTGCCACACCACCACAACTCCATCACACCAAGCCACTGCCACTCTGATGTTACTCTTCATGCAAGGGGTTGAACATGGTCGTGTCTCAGGGTCCTATCCTCTTTAGTAATTTTGGAAGGGGTATAATTTAAGGGTGAGTTGTCATTTGTTCCTTGTATCCAAACAGAAGACAACAGCCTTTTCTTTTTACATACAGCTTGAATGACGGGTAGGGGATGTCACCACACAAAGCAAGTCTGTAGTTTTCTGAAGATGTAATTTTTTTTACATGTGTGGCTGTCATAAATTGTCTTTGGGAGGGTGCAGAAGAACCCTAAACTGAAGAATGTAACCATTTTCACACATGGGGGGTCTGAGTTCTATATCTATATCTTGGGAACTATTACTATTCTCAAAGGTGTTACATGGTTGGCTTGTGCTGATTGCATAATGACTTTGGCTAGTTAAAATCATCCAACTGGGGATGAATTCTTGTCTGGGAGAGATATCGTCAATTCAAATCCTTCTTGGGGATGAAGTGACGATCCCGCAAGATACCTGTCTTGGTGGACTTGGTGTCTTAAATTAATTGGAATCAGATATGATTGGGCTACACTCCTCATGTTTGTCAAAAGTAATCAGGCCTTTATTTTCAGAAAATTAAATTGTAATAATATTGAGACATATGGGCCACTTCTAGGAAACGAATTGGCAAATATGTTGCCATGGAGAGATTGAATCTTGGAAACCACCTAGTTACAAAACAGTCTCCATGGATACAGAAGCTGAAAGTTGTAAACACTTAGAAAGAAGACCGTTGCTTTGGAACTAACACACAGTTTCTAAGACAATGCATTGATGAAGAGCAGTAATGGAACCCTTGGAGGCAGTGATCTCTATTCAGTTCTCTATCAGTGTTAAAAGGGAGTAAAAGTAAGTAAAAAGTAAGTAAAGCTATCCCTGTAACAGGCCGTGAAGGCTCATATGGTTGTGAGACGTTGAGAGTCCCACATTATCTACACAATCAACTCATAGATAGCAGTAAGGTCAACTTTATGTGCCAGCTGCGCTTTACTCCCCAGGAAAATTATTTTAATTAATTCCTGGTACTCATTTCTGTTATAGGCTGAGTCGACACCAGGGCCATAGTGCAGCTGGAAGGATTAGATCAACTGAAAAATTCAATGAGCTCATCGGGACTTGAACCCGTGACCTTCCGGCTTGTAGCATAGTGCCTCAACCAACTATGCTACCGCATGCCCCCATAAAAGGGAGTTCATTTGTGAATGCAAGATAGTCAGAAAGTCATTCATAAGGGAGAAGGCAGTTCAACAGTTAAGTGCTCAGCTGTGAAGTGTTAACGGGATAAGATTCGTTACCAAGCAATGACTAGTCAGCAGAGGCTAATGACTTCATTTTGTGTGTTATAGTTATAATAATCTTAAGTGTGTGGGCCGCGCCATAGCTTCAGCAGTTAGTCGCTGGCTTCCCACTGCGGCAGCCTGGGTACAAACCCGGGTCTGGTCAAGTGGGATTTGTGGTGGCAAAGTGGCGCTGGGGCAAATTTTCTCCAAGTACTTCGGTTTCCCCTGATAATCTTCATTCCACCAAATTCTCCATCATAATCACCTGGGGGCAGGTACAATAGGCCAATCAGTGGTCACCGTGCTGAGTGGACCAAACTTGACTCCGCCCCCCACTATGCAAAAAATTAATCTAGGTGTTATAACTATCTGTAGTTAAGGCTTGTGAGTTCCCAATAAATCTAGTCACCAAAACAAACCCTGTCCTCAGTCACTAATACACAGGACAATATAAAAGAGCCAAATTACTTCTTGCTTGTGTGGAGGAAATTGTGAAGTTCCACTTTCAAATAAACAAACAGTTTATGAATAGTGGAAGTTGTTGTGTTGTTGATTTGGAGCAATGGAATGGCTTCAAGGGTGCAGTTTCGGTTGCCTTAGTTAATGACGTGATACGAACCTGAGAAGAGTTTCAGTGGCCTGTTGGAGCTGGCCTAATACAATGAAAGGAAGAGAGATAGTTATAGTCTTCATCAACAGTAGCCAGCAAGGCTTCAACTTTAAGTCTCCACGTCATCTACGGTCAGTCACACAAGTCATGAGCTCTGAACTGGATTCCTAAGCAGTCTGAGATTATGTTGGCTTTAACAATTGGATAAAATATGGGGACTATGGAACCATGAATTGCAGATGGGGCATTTGGTCCACCCCTTTTAGTGAGGGATTTCACAATAGGGCATATTGCTTGAAGTGTGAATTTGCAGCTTGCCAACTTTGTTTTCCATCCTTCAAGTGCTCTTTTCTGGACCATTCTCCTGATTCAGTTTAACACCGTTTTGCATGCTGGATCCCTGGTTTCTTGCCATAATTTTTTTTTGAGCTTTCTCTTATGCTTCAATAATCGACCTAGGCCAGGCATTTTGTATTTGCAATATAAAATTGTAGTTTCTCTATTCTACAGCCTGTATACCAAAACTATAGAGGCTGCAAAGTCTCATGCTTTTTTATGAGCTTCATTAGAAGAGCGATTTGGATATGAGGAGACATGAATTCACAGGTGAGGCTTCAGAACAGCTTCCAGTCTCTTAGTTTTTCAACAGGAACTAAAGCTTTCCTCATTCTAACAGAATCCAGAATGCTGAACATTACTGGCATATGAACTGAGTCCACGATGTAAGTGAAAATCACCTCTGACAGTCAGGCGTTCTGATGTACTACAATGTCAAGAACATTATTTCTACCATCAGAAGTGTAATGCGTTGAGCATTATGGAGCTCAAGTTTCGGAGTTAGAAATAACAAATAATTCCAAGAGCTTCAAGCCTGAGGAGTTTGAAACTTTACTATTCCAAATAGGGTGCTTTGCATTCAGGTCACCTGTCAGGATAGATTTATTCATAAAACCTAATAGCCCTGTGATGTCTGTCACTCCACTCTTTGCAGAAATTTATAAAACAGTCATGTTTTCTAATGTGTATTTCCTTTTGCATTTCTGTAGTAAGAGCACGAAGTTAATTCATAAAATTCTGTGCAGACATGTTTCCTAGTGCAGGATTGTCTTACACTTCAGAATTATCGCCATTCGGGTAAAGACAGCAGTACACTTTAGTGCACTATGAAAATGTAGCTAGTGTCATAAATCGTTACAGTGAAAATATTGGTCTGCAACAGAAAATTCTTGCTTCCATCTCGATTCTTGAAACTTTCCCAAATTCTCACCTAAACTGAAAGTCATTCTCATACATATACATTCCACTTGTCACAAAAAACAGCATTACAAAACCTGATGGATTTCTACAACATATTATCAAAATAAAAATAAGTTATTCAAACAAAATTCACTTACCTGATAGAAATGCTAAGTGCCTCAAAGAGATAGTGGTTGAAATGTGGGCGGCTTGGATTTCGGGCTACAACTGACAATTTCTCTGTCAATTTGGGCAACAGCTCACCAAGGAATGGAATAACATGTTCCTGCAGAGATGAAAAACTGCGCATCACAGCTGGAAGGGCAAAAAAGCAAAATAATAACATCAAAACAAAATATACTGCATCCAAAAAACTGAAAATCTACAATTATAAAAACCTTTCAAGGGAATATAACATTCCTGCATGAATGTTCAAACTTTTATTCTTTGTGTACAAAATATGCAAAAACTTTCTAATAACACTATAAGGAATAATATATTTTCAAGTGTGTAAGAGGTGCTTTCTTTCCTCAACAAGGGTAGTAAAAACTGCAGCACATCTTATTCACTGATGTGGTTTAGAAAAAAAAATCTTTCTTTCCTAAACCATTATGAGTCTTACATAGCAGGAAAGGTGGTAAGAATTTCAAACATTAAATGTATCGTTCTTGAGTGTAATGCTGTGTTATACACATGCAGTATACTTGGAGCATACAGGTTGCTTTTGCTGAATTATTAAACATATGACAGGAAGATCATATTTGACATCTCATTACTTTTGGTGTGATAATCACAACTGTTTCTTCAATATCAGGAGACTTGACAATTTATCAATTGTTATACCTTTCATAATATATTCATTTTCATGAGAGCCGGGTAGAGTCATTGCTTTAAATAAATTATTCATCAGGTCTGGTGCAACAGGAACTAGTTCATCCCTTTTCACCCTAGAACAGAAAATAAAATTCTATAATTAAATATGTATAATCTCCAAGAGATATTTCAGAAATTTCATGTATGGTACTGCCAGTAGATAATGATTTGCATGAATTAACTTCCTTTGATAAGTCATTAATATCAATGGATGAGTCGTGTTGTCTGAAAATACACTGTTTGGCAGTCCTCTACCTTACCCTCACCATGTAAGAAAACTGGACAGACAGGACACTGTGAAAGTGATGTATGGCATGTTATTCAACCAGCAGCCTTGTAGGTGGTGCTATTACATAATATGATGCAACATTCCCTGGATCAGACATAACCAGAACTTCTGGAATATGGTGTTATTTCACCCCAAGAAATTGCTGCACCCACTGAAATCATGTGCAAAGCTTGCCACAGACCAGGGCCGTAAATTCTGGCACATCCTTCTTATTTCTCTGACCTTACTTCTATGTGATTTCTTGGGTAAAAGAGCAAATTCAGAGACATAAGTATCAATTTCAAGAAGCCATCAACAAAGCTAGCATAGCCTGCCTGAGTTTACATGATTTTGGCATAGTGACTGATCTATCTCACCAAGGAAAGAGGTCTACTGACCTTGGTGGTAATTATGTTGAGTAAGGGCTAGATGCATGTAACTTGTAACATATGATTACTGATATATGTCTTTAGTGTGTAGATCAAAAGAACATCTGTAATGTCCTTCACACACATAATTATAGATCTCAATCAGTTCATACATCCCTATGCATACCATGTTTTAATTGACACTGCCAAACAAAATAATTTATTCATTTGCTCCATCAACAGATGGTACAGGATTGATAAAAACAAATGCTGAACCAAGCAAATTTACAAAAGAATATTCAGTTACTGACAGATGGCTGTTCTTCTGAGTCTCAAAGTTTCAAGTGTACCATACAAAATATCACTGAGAAACACAAAAGCATTTTCTCCATGCATTTGGCCTTGTATCATCAACATACAATATGTTAACAACGTGGGATGTAAGAACATGTAGTCTTGTTGGCAGAATACAACATTTTGAAGGAATATGCTGCCTTCATCTTCAGAGGTGAAGTGGTAGGTTCAGCAATAGGCTCAGTTATGCTGGCAAGAAATAAGGAAGGTGGTCATGAGACCTAAGGAGAGACCGTAAAACAAGGAGCGACTCCAAGCCAAAGAAATTAAAGTTCTTCTAAGAGCACACTGGTCTACTATTATGCGTGAGAAATGCGATAAAGTGGAAGAATGGCCCTTTCCAGGGATCCAACATTCCTTTCTGAAGAAAAAGCATAACTATGTACAGATGAATAAGAACAGTCCGTTTCAGAGCCTCCACAACTTTTCTCCCAGAAGGGAAATTTTAACTTGGGAATGGGAATAAACAGCCCTTTTTTGAGCCCTAGGAGATAGGTAGTGGGACACAACAAAACAACTCCCAGGCCAGCTGCTATCTTACACCAACCTCCTAGTCCTTCGCTAGTTATCTCCTGGTACCGGATCTTCACACTGTCCTCCACTTATGTCCTTACCATCTGCCATATAGCCCATAACTAAGCTCTAAACTTGGTCCTGCTTATAACCCCTTAGCATGGACCAACAGAAAAAACAGCTCTTCTACTGTTGTGTGTGTGTCTGTTGGGGTTCCCACGTGATTGCTACTCAGCCAGTACATCAGTGTGCTGGCTGTTGCATAGGAATGACTGTTATCTCCTTGTTTCTTTCACAGTCATGTGTATACATCACAAATCTTTCCCCTCTCAAGCACCTGGGTAGAGGGCCATTGTTTAGGGTGAAGTAACTCATTTCTCCTTGGAAAGCATCTCATTTGTTTCCTTCAGAGAATAAATGAGAGGCTTCCATGACATGCTTGGGAACCTGTCCTCCATGTTCATGATGCTGGGATGGAGCTCAATTTCACTTGTGGTCTATTTCTAAAATTAAATTAATGGATGATGATATGAATGAAAAATAAGTTTATGGTCTTCAAAAAAAAAATGGACTTTATTATGGGCCAATATGGCTGAAAATCAGAACTGCTTGACAACTTTAGTGAAAGTCTCTACACTGAATTCTGAAACATTATCCAGTGGTTTGGGCACTGATACCAGGTCACAGGCAGACTGACTGAATGACTGATGGACAGACAGAACTTTAAAAGAAATTGTGCAACACCTTACAACAAACACAAAGTTCCTGGGAGCATTAATTGCCTATTTTCGTCGATACAACATGGACCACATAGAAAATGACATGCCCAGAAATTCTTTTACGGTTGTGCATTCATTGCCGCAGTAACGTCTTTACTAATCTGTTGCCTAGCAATGATGGCAATTTTTACTAAGCCACTGCCTAGCAATAACATGGGGATAAAATACAGATACAGACTGATGGGAAGAATTTGTGAGGAATGCCACTGAGATGGGCTCAGGTAAATATGATATACATACGAAGTTTCATAAAGATCAGTTCAGGCATTCAAAAGTCGATGGGAGGGGATATAGAAACAGACAGCATTGTGATCACAAAAGTCTACGCTTATTTTTTCAAAATAAGAAAAGCAAGCTAAAAATGTTATTGAAATAACTCCAGTAGTTATCTAGTAATGAGATGATGCTGCAAAAATATTATTTTTGTTTAATTACTGTGAAATCTGTAAGACTTACAGAAGTATATTCGTCAAAAAAATGTGTTTTATTTTCTTCAGTGTTTGTCTGAAACATTTTTCACTTACATCAGTTATTTTGCCTGATTTTAGTAGAGATCAGAATTGCTCAAAAATTTTCAGCAAAAAGGTCCCCCCTAAAAATTTTAGAAAATCTATCAGAGGTTGAGCAGTAATACTAGGTCACAGACGGCAAGACATGACCTACAAATAAGGTGTCCTTTTTTACTTCATAAATAATGCCTAAAAATAATGCACCTGTTAGTGGTAATATGCACATATGTGTTGTTCTTGTATCTTCATATGATTAAGTAATTTTTGTGGCTGATTTAATATTTTGTGACTGAATTTGAATATGTGGCTGAAACTGAACATGTTACAGTTTGCAAACAGGTTGAGTATCTAACTGATAACACACAGACTATGGAGAGAATGGAAAAACTGTATGGGAAGTAGGTAAACTTCACACAATGATTATGTCATAATCCCCAGCTCTGCTGGATGGAAAATTGTGAAATTTTGTTTTAATCATAAAATTAAATTAAATCTATGTATTCAACAAACTAGTTTATGAGCATTTTGTAAAACATCTATTATAATAGATGTTTTACAAAATGCTCATAAACTAGTTTGTTTATAGTTTTAATGTTAATGATGATGATAATTATCATCATCATTAACATTAAAACTATAATTCATATTTAAAAGGTATTATTGACTACAGAATATACAATAACCTTTTCCAATTTTCAACAGTTTTCAAGCGATCAGTCCACTACACTTTTCCCTATCATAAATAACTTCAATGCTCCAGTCTAATAAATAAAATTATACTGGGTATATTTTCTATCATACCACATATATTTACTTTTAGACAAATCATAATAAGACCAAGCAGTTCATACAGCTAGTAACAGATGTCACAACACTTCCCTAATTCATTACAGACATGAGAAATGGTATGTTGGGTCCACCTGCACATAGGAATAGAAATTTTACATTTTCCTTTACCTTGGTTAAGTTCATTTAAGTTGATTTAAGACATCCCAATCTCTCATACTTACACAGGGCTTCCATCAGACGTTTTCATAACCAATATCTTTTCAATGGCACAGGCTGCATAAGTATGTACAACTTGGCTGTATGCAATCAGATGGCGTACCAGCTGTGGAATTGATCCCACCACCATCTCTCGTGGCAGTACAGTACGAAATATCATTACATATTTGATACTGTCAGCTATCAGAACAGGCTGTGTGTCTGCTGTTGGTGGAAAGTGAGAATATCATGTTACCAGGAGCAACGATGAACATTATAATCAAAAAGCCTGATTGTGACATCAATTAGATCAACAATATAAAACTGATGGGGCTGACTCTCCATATCTGACAGCTCTGCCATTTTGGTACTTTATGGTATAAGCAAAGACACTTTGCTCGGTCATAATAAGTAAATGTGTTTCATTTTAACAGTCCAAATTGTATTTATGAGAGAGAGAATGGGGGGGGGGGGGGGGGCTGCGCNGTGCATGCGCGCGCACACAAAGATGCAAGCATGTGTGTAGGGAGTTCAAACCAGTGAAAATGACCATTCATTGGCCTTCCTCTTAAAACGAGCTGAACTGAAGCAATGAAACTACTTATTTATTTTGGTATTATCAAGAATATATAACTTCTCAAAGGGGTGAAAGATGGAAATCTTATGGATGTGTTTCCAATGACCATTACTCTATTATTGACCATAAGTGCTGCTGCAGTCTGTTTGATGCATAATGTTTTGTACTATAAAAATTTGTATGGCTGCTACCAATCATGGGATAAAAAAGACAGGTCAGGGAGACCAATGGATGAAAGGATTCTACATAAAAATTACAATATAAAAATATCTGCAAATTATGATCCATGAAGGCTGGTACTGAGAGTTAAAACATTATTCTGTCCTATGAAATATTCTGATATCTTCTAACAATTGTTCTAATTTCACAGGACCTATCAAGAGAGGCAGGGACTACTATTTGTGGTTCTCACACCAGTGGCTAAGAGTTACATAGGTTGTACCGAAAGTCATGAGCAACTTTTTTTTCCATGCAACCTGGGAACAGCAGACGAAAGAGAGTATGGTGGTAGGTGGAGCCAGCTGTTGTGTTAACCTTAAGTGTCTTGTGACATCAATAGCTTGCATCATATGACCAGTATCACTCCTAACAAAATGGCCAACAACCACATGTCGTTTCACCAGTGTGCTGTCATCGAATTTCTTGTGAAAGAGGAAATCCCTGCTGCAGAAATTCACCAGAGACTTCAGCGTGCTTATGGAAGTGTGTGCATGGGTGTGAGCAGTGTTCGAAGATGGGTGAAACATTTTAACTCTTTGACTGGCGCGGGCGTGTTTTAACGCCAGGGCGATGCCAGCCGTTCCCTGGCGTTGGCGTGTTTTAACGCTTTGAAAATCTCTTCCCTTATTTGCTCTCTTGGCTCTCATCAACCAAAGACATATATATGATAGTTTTGGTGCATGGTTGTAAAGAACCCTTGTAAACTTTGTGGGGGTCTATATTACTGTCAGA